GGAGGAGGAGGAGGAGGAGGAGGAGGAGGAGGAGGAGGAGGAGGAGGAGGAGGAGGAGGAGGACTGTGGGATCCTTGGTCTCTCTGAGCTTGTTTCCTTGCAGACATTTCACGACCCAGCTAGGTAACAATATCAGTGCATTACCAACCCACCCACCCACCCAATGAAGCTCAAAGAGCACCAAGGACCCCACACAGACACACACAACACAGACACACAAACCCCCACACCACATAGCCTGGGACAGAGAGGTGAATCCAAACAACGCCTATACCTGAGAAAGCTCTGGAACCATAACCATGTTCCTCATCCATTCTTTAAACAGAAAGATGCCCAAATTTTAGCGACACTTTTAAGTGACTTTTATGAACCGCTTCTTCCTCGCTAACCCCTCCCTGCCCCACCGCTGGCACAACCCCAAAGTCAAGACTATTTTCATTGGAGATCACAATGTCCTCTATAAGTAAAATTCTGCTGTGTCGAATGTTAACTTCCAGAAGAAACCTGGAATCCGAAGCCAGCGACTTGAGGGCTCGTTTCCAAACGCTTCCATCTGGCCGTCATAGGCTATAACTATTTTCCACCCGAAAACTCGTATTCAGCAAAAAAAAAAAAAGCGGACAAAACTAAGAGTGATGGTAATTATTTTTAGGACCCCGAGCGAAAGCATATGGATCTCATTGCCCCATTTATATAGTCGAGTCACTGGGAAAAAAAGAAAGAAGAAGAAGCTATTAATCAATACAAACAACCCATGGAGTAACATAAACATTCATCATTCTAATATTCTCAAGGTGTCAAAAATAAGAGTTTTTTATTTATTTTTTTGGAGCCCCCTTCTTCCAGCCATCAGACACAGTTGCCTTTAGTTTTTCAGCTGCGTGAACCTCCCCCCAGCCCAGGGATAAGAAAAATACATTCGAAGGCTGTGAAAAACATATTCAGAAAAAGAAAAAGAAAAAAGTGGTGAAGGAAGAATCGAGGCGAAGGGAGAGGAAAAAAAAAATCCCACATTCGCCTTTTTTTCCCACTTTGGAACACATTAAACGTTAAAAGAATGAGGCGTGAAAAAAACAGCTGGTGCCAAAGAGACGTTCCTTTGCAAGCTTCGCCACCGGCTCGAGGCTGCAAAAAAAAAAAAGCGAAGGAAGGACCGACAGCTGTCCTATTGTACGATTAAATTCCTCCGATAAAACACACGCATGAAACCGAAGATGTCCTAAAACCAACACCAGGAGCTGTTTTTGCCTTCCTCTTGTCTCTCCGGTTCCCCAAGAATGCGCGTCAGCTTGAACTTAATGGAAGTTGGGCATATTTGAAGAGCGGGAGGATCAGACTTAGAAAAACAGAGACGGCCGCATTATCTCTGGCCGTTGAAATAGCCGAGTGATTTCACGCAGCCGCTCTGTCAAAGAATGGGTGGTGTGTGGTGGACTAGAGGTAGCGCTCTTGCTTCACAATCGGGAGGGTTGTGTAAGTTCGATCCTAGGCAGAGGCAGATATTTCTCTTTCTGGGCACGAGAATAGATCTGCCGAAGAAAAAACTCCGCATTGGAAACAGGAAGGGCATCCGGTCAGTAAGCACTCAGCTCCGTTCAGTTGCCTGGGCTCCGCCCCGCAAAGGGATTATGCAGTTGTTAAAAGGAGATGATGACTCTTGTCAAAGAAATAAGACTGGTTCGGCATGACAGACATGATGAAAATTCTTTAATTTCACAACATATAGCATAACAATAGCACTTGGACTTAAATACCATTTTACAGTGCTTTTACAGCCCTCTCTAAATGGTTTACAGACTCAACATATTGCCCTCAACAATCTGGGTCCTCATTTTACCCATGGAAGGCTGAGTCAACCTTGAGCTGGTCAGGATCGAAATGCTGGCAGTTGGCAGAATTAGCCTGCAATACCACATTCTAACCACTGCGTACCATGGATGGATGGATGGATGGATGGATGGATGGATGGATGGATGGAAGGAAGGAAGGAAGGAAGGAAGGAAGGAAGGAAGGAAGGAAGGAAGGAAGGGCAATGGCATTTAGACTTATATATTGCTTCACAATGCTTCACAGCCTTCTCTAAGTGGTTTACAGAGCCAGCCTCTTGCCCCCAACAATCTGGGTCCTCATTTTACCCACCTTGGAAGGAGGGAAGGCTGAGTCAACCTTGAGCCGGCCAGGATCAAACTGCTGGCAGTGGGTAGAGTTAGCCTGCAATCCCACATTCTAACCACTGTGCACCAAAGAAGAAAGAAAGGAAAGAAGGAAAGAGGAAGGAAGGAAGGAAGGTGGGTGAAAAGGAAGAACAATAGCAATAGCCCTTAGACTTATATACCGCTTCACAGTGCTTTCCAGCCCTAAGTGGTTTACAGAGTCGGCCTCTTGCCCCCAACAATCTGGGTCCTTGTTTTACCCACCTTGGAAGGATGGAACGCTGAGTCAACCTTGAGCCAGTCAGGATCGAACTGCCGAACTGCAGTCAGCAGTCAGCAGAAATAGCCTGCAATACTGTATTCTAACCACTGTGCCACCTTGGCTCATGTAGACAGGTTTAACCATAATTTCAATTGGGAAAATGTGACCATCCTAGACCAGGCCAAGTCCAAAAAATGCCAGGGAATTTCCAGAAGCTTGGTACTCGGACAAAACAGCCATCAATAGGCACATAGACATTAACAACCTCTACACAGTATGCAAAAGAGACAATCAACCAGCCCAAAGGAGAGCCAAAAGACTCCAGTACCCCTCCAGCAGTAATTCGCATTCAGATCAGCATAGATTAACTCCAAGGTTAACTTCAGACCAACAAAGCAATAGCTCAATCAAGAAAATATCAGTAAACAGCCCAACCAAAGAATCTCTTAGACACCCAGCCACTGTCAGGATTCTGGCGATTGCCCTAATTAAGTCATGAGCCTTGAGCCAAGCTTCCAAAGAAACCAAAAGTTTTATTAGGAGCAACATGTCCAGCATTAACCTGTATGGAGCCAACTCTGGCATACGTAATTTACAATCACCTGTGACCCTGTTTCCCCCTCCCCCTGGGTGCGTCATAAATCAGATTCTCCAATGAAGCACAATCATGAGCTGGGTGTCATCAATCACGGTTCTCCAATTAAGGATTTTCCCGGGGAAGAAGATCCGGTAGCTTAGCTACAATCTTTGTAAGGTTAAGTGTTGGAATGTACTTCTGGTTTTAAACTGCCGCCCTGCTCCTTGACATTTCTCCCCACCCCCTCTTGTTTATGGCAACTCTAAAACAGGCATTGGAAGGCTTTACGAGTTGATACCCACCCAAACAGACAGGCAAGTCATCAGAATATAAACTGACAGCAAACAGCACTCCTTACTACCGGCGGCCCTGATGATGTTCCCTAGTTAGGGTAAAGAAACCCCTGCAAGAAAACTTTGTTTCTAGAAGTTCACAGACTTGTTTACTACTACTACTACTACTACTACTACTATTATTATTATTATTATTATTATTATTATTATTATTATTATTATTGTTGTTGTTGTTGTTGTTGTTGTTATTTAATCTTTAGTGAGATTCACAGCCTTTGGAGCTGGTTGGTAACTCAGCAGCTTGAGTCCTAACCAAGGATCTAGGAACTATTCAGGTAGCATCAGAGGATAGAAGCTGTTCCAAGTAGGGTGGTTCTTTTTTTGTAGAATCAGGGTATTCAAGTCTGATAATTTCAGGATTTCCAAATAGTGAGGCAGCCCTTTAGGTATTGCTTCAAGGGCTCCAATTACAATTGGGATAACACATGATTTCTTTTCCCAAAGTCGCTCAACTTCAATTTGTAAGTCCTGATACTTTGTGATTATTATTATTATTATTATTATTATTATTATTATTATTATTATTAT